AAAAATAACTTTCTCAACTCCATTTTCTTTTTGAACATTGACTCAATTATCTTTGGGTCAAAAATGTTGTTCTAAGGCCATTAAGTACAATTTATAGGTCACACACCCAGCCAAAAAATTGAATAAACAAATAGTTTGAATAAAATTTATATTATGAATAGAAACCCTGATTAAAGAACACAAGAAAATTATATGTACATGTAAAAATCAAAAAAGTGATTAAATAATACAATGATGATAAATTGTGATCTGAATCTATTGTGTTGTTGTTATCTGACATTGAGGATTTGTTGATGGTGAATGAAAATGAAGTGCTATTATCCATTATGTAAAGAGAACATTTTATTATTATTATTTATACATGTATATTGAATGAATGCCCTGTAAAAATTTACTCTGTAATTAGTGTTTTTCCGTTATTAAACTCTGAGTTTTTTCTATAATAATAACACTATCAGGATCAGGCAAAACATAGACATATGTATTTCAATGTTACATGATTTGAAAAGATTGGATATAGGCCAAGAGAATTAGTTCAACAAGTGAGTTGAAATGATTTAGATATGGCTTTTTATTTGATAATATAGGTATATTTAAATTATCCAGATATATTAATTTTTATTTATTAAAAAAAAAACCAAAGATATACAGTACAATATCACTATTAAATATAATTTCATTTCTCAAGATATTTAATATCACAAGCCAAATAAATAAAATAAAAAATAATTTTAATACATAATAAAATGACGGGATTTAAAATTCATCCATCTAAATCAATCTGATGAGAATCTAAAAAAAAATATTTATTAAAGAGTGGATATTAATTTTAAAAATTAATAAAATGAAAATAATCAATTATTGAATATTAATACTTACCATTATTATTACCAATAATTGTTACCTTATTAGAATTAACAGGTTGAGGAAGGTTTGTAAATTTTAATAATCTACTAGTATAAACTGCATTTGGATGAATTGCTGTAGTAATTGTCGAAGGATCAAATTTTATTTCATCCATTTTCTCAAATTTATAAGATACATTCCAACCATAAATAATTTCAAAAATATTTTCAGCAGTTGGACGTTTATCTGGGTTAGCATCCATGCATTTGAATGCTAGTTCAATATAGAATTTTGGTGTGTTGTTTGAGAAACCAGGTCTTGCACCTCTACATATTTTCATTGCAAGATCTGCATCATGTGCCAAATTATTAAATGGTTGTTGGCCAGTTGATACTACAGACATCAGAACTCCAAAACTGTATACATCTGATGCCAGTGTATATGGTTTCTCCTTTAAAACTTCTGGTGCAATGTATGGTAGTACTCCACATATATCATTTTTGTTTGATGATGATGTTTGACTAGCTGGGCATGATAATCCTAAGTCTGCAATATATGAATTCATATATCCATTTTTTTGAAGAATATTACCACTATGAAGATCATGATGAATAATTTTTTCTTTATGAATATTTTTTAAACCTTTAATAATTTGTTTAAGAATATTAATTTTGATTTCCCATTTTAAATTTTTAAAATCTTTAGTTAAACAATTTTGAAGACTTCCACTTTCCATATATGCCATTACAAACATATATTCTTTTGTAATTGAATCTTGTGTTAATCCATAAATATGAATTATATCAAGTTTATTACGAAACTTTGTATAATTTTTGAACTAAAACAACAAATAAAATATTTAATTACAACAATAATAATCAATAATATTTAAAAAATCTGAAAATAAATAAAATAAATAGAAAAATAAAATAATTTACCTCATTAAGAAATTCACCAGAAATATCCTGTGAATTATGTAGTTTTTTTAATGCCACAGTCCTATCATAACTTATTTTTTGGTTTTCATTACTTGCATATTTAACACCATTTAACCAAGTAGCTTTGAATATAGTTGCAAAACCACCTTCACCAATCTTTTCAATATTTGTTAAATCATTATAAGGAATCCATTGAAGATAATAACTATTATCATACTTGGCTGCTTTAAGCTGCGTACTTTTAATCAACTCATCTAATGTTTCATTGCCACTAGTCCATCCTTCAGTTAATAGCTTTGGATCACATGATTG